TGCTAAGATTTGGGGAACTCATGTGTACAGGGAAGGAGCAGCATGTCCCTTTGGTAGTGACAAGTCAACACCTATAGGAGAGGTAATTGTGTTGACCTGGGGGTCAGATTATCCAAAGTATGGGGCTTTGGACAGTTCTCAGAGCAGGCCTGAGCAGCATAGGAAAATGGGAAAAGTGGAGCGATACTGCAAGGAAGCCTTTAATCATTTTATCAAGAAATAAACACTTCTGTAAATCTCATTTTACATAGACTAGATATTATATATCAGAATATTAATTTCCCAGGGTTGCTAAAAAAATTTACCACACATTGGGCAGCTTAGAACAATAGACATGTATTCTTGCCATTCTAAAAGTCAGAGCAGGTTGGTTCCTTCAGAGCCTCTGAAGGAGAATCTGTACCATGACTCTTCTAGCTGTTGCTCATTGCCAGCAATTTTTGGTGTTCCTGTGTTTGTGGGCCCATTATCCCAATCTCTGCCTCTGTTATTGGAAGAGAGTCTCCTATATGTCTCTCTGTGTGCTTTCTCCACTTCTTTAGGGACACTAGTCATTGGATTTAAGACCTACCCTCATCTGTATTTAGAGATTAGTTTGGTAACATCAAGGTTGGTAGTTCAAACCTACGAGCTGCTTGGAGAGAGAAAACGAAGACCACCAAACAGCTCCTTGGGAGAAAGCTGTGGCTTTCTACTCCTTGAAAGTCTCAGTCTTGGAAACCCACAGGGGCAGGTCTGTCCTATCGGGTCACTGTAAGTCAGAATTAACTTGGTGGCAATGAATGAGTGTTCTATCAAGATTTACAATCTTGGAAACGCTGTCTAGGGACCCCATGAGTCAGAATTGAAGGGTATGTCTAATCAGTATAGGCCCATCTTAAATCATCGCATCTCCAAAACCCAATTATCAAATACAATTACATTCTGAGATTCCAGGTGGACCTCCATATTTTGGAGACACAATTGGAGATACTGTAAGTGGATCCTGAAACACCTCCGTGAAGATCTATAACTTCCTGGAGTTCAGGTTTAAAATCTACGTACTCAGGACCCACGCACACACTGTAAGCTAGCCAAAACTCCCTTTAAGCTCTATTTATGTGCAGATCCTTATACGATATGGTTCTTCTCAAAAGTAGACCTTTTGATATCCAATGCAGCAGCTGCAGCCAAGGGTGCGAGAGTTCTGTAAGACTCTTTCCTTTCCATGTTTATGTCTCTGATTTGAATCCATGTAACATTCTACAGCAATGACTGGATACCAGCCCCAGTCAGCACCACTAAAAGAATGTCTCAGACAAAAACCAATAAAGTTCACTCGACTCGTCAACAGAATTTTTCAGG